TTTCTTAAATTTTATAGCAGCCTTATTAAGATACAATTCACATACCATACAGTGTACCCATTTGATATGTACAGTTCAGTGGTTTTTAGGATATTCACAGAGTTTAGTCAGTCTTAGAACATTTTCATCGCTCCAAAAGGAAATGCCATATCCATTGACATTTACTCTCCGTTTCTATCCAATCTCTCCAGCCCCTGGCAACCACTCATCTACTTTCTATCTCTATGGATTTGCCTATGACACATTTCATTTGAAAGGGATCATATAATAAGTGGTTTCTTTCATTTAGCATGATGGTTTCAAGGTTTACCCATGTCTTTTGGTTTTTCATTATTGTCTGGGATGGTACAGAACTCTCTTTATGGTCTATCTCCCACCTCTGGAATAGAAGAATGGTTTATAGACAGATAGGTTGCAGACCAGCAACAACAGAGTACTCCAAAACATAGATTGTCCCAAGGCTTCAGATGTGCCTCCATTGCAGTTACTTAAGGTAGATGGTTTTTGATCTCTGTATTAGTTATTTATCGCTGCAGAAGAAATTAACCCCAAACTTGGTAGTTTAAAGCACCATTTATTACCCTGCAGTGTCTGTGGGTCAGGACTCGGATCCAGCTGAGCTGGATCCCCCAGTGCTGAGGTCAGGGGGCTACAGTCCTCTCTAGGCTGGACTGGAAAGGATCTGCCCCAGCTTGCTCATGTGGTCGTGGCATGATTCAGTTCTCTGCAGGCCTCACTTACTTCCTTGGGAGCTGTTGGCAGGAAGCATCTCTAGGTTCCTTCCCAAGTGGGCAGCTGTAGAGAGGAAGTCTCCACATGTTAGCTGGCTGCATCAGAGCGAACAAGCAAATGGGCAAGAGAGGGGGCTGGTGGGGGTGGGGGGAGGGGAAGACATGGTCTCTCAGAACTGGATCACAAGAGTGACACTTTGTGTTAGAAGCATGTTACCAGATCCACCACACAATAAGGGGATGGGATTATACAGGACGTGAATCACAAGAGTCCGGAGTCATCGGGGGCCACTCAGTTCATGTGAGAGAAATGGATTGTCGATTACCTTGGTTTTGGAAGTACTGTGGGGGAAAAAAAAACACACACACACATCTGAAGTGCCGTTAGGAATATGGTAAAATTCCCTGGTGTAGATGCACTAATAATTTGTTCGCTATTCACTTGTAAAACTTTTCTACTAAATTGGTAGATGTTTTCTCCCCCTGAGATGGCATGATGGCATTCAGCTTCATTACCCTCATTTTTGTCTTCCTGCCTTTTGATCCCGGAATTGTTCTTTCTTTGTCCCCCACTCACCTCACCTCCCATCCTTGGTCTCTAAATATTTGCTGTTTTTTTCTTTTTCTTTCAATTCACTGTCATGGAACCCTGCTATGCCCGTTTAGTTCTATAGGTCTTACTTTTGAAATTTGTGCCTTTTTAGATTTTTATTTCACTGTGACTCTTCTCTAATTCCTTGCCAATTTTTTTTTTTTTTTTGGTACTGAACTAGTTTGAGCTGTATCTGCTGTTCTTGTACACAGAACAGGTTGGTAAGTTGAAATCATGTCCTTTATTCCTAAAGCCTTAAAGAAAATGCCCATAAAATATTTCAAACATGCAGCAAGTACAGAGAATAGTGCAGTAACAATGGAACACTCATGGACCCTCCACTTGGATTTATAAAGTCTTAGCATTTCATTTGTTTCTTTCCCTCAGATTTTTAAAGAGCTTATTTATTCACAATTCATTTATCCATTCAAAATGTGGTGTTGATGGATATTTTGATTATTTGCATATCTTCTAATCACTATTTGATTATTTGCCTGTCTTCACTATAACACTGTTACAATGAATGTTTCCTGTGCTCCTTCCCTTGTACAAGAGTTTTTCTAGCCGTAGATATTTTGAAAATAAACTTCTGGGTGATTGATAAGCAAAAACAATACGTGATAAACACTTTTGTAAGATGTTGACAGTGAAATGTTGCAGCCATTTTTAATAACACGTGAAATAGGGAAAAATGCTTTTTGTGACGGCCATTTAGATGGGAAAATGTTAACTCATGCTGCCTTGCATCTTTGGATGAATACTAGTATAGCATTTTTATTTCAGAACGGGAATTTGTATGACTCTAAGGAAACTGATGGGATATTGGAATTAGTAGCAAAAAGTGCCTTCCTGTGGTAACTTAAGAAAATGTCCATTACATGTTTTTCTTGTTTTACTCTGATATTATTTATTCCTACCTAGGGTAATCAGCCAGACCCATATTTATTATTCTTTATGTCTTACTAATCTCTAGGCAGGAGTGTTTTTTTTTTTTTTTTTTAAAGTAGGGAAAATAGCACTGTGGACTCTAAACATATGCATCACCCCGGTTCCACACAGTTGACTTGCTTTTGAACACGATTTTCAACTGCGATGCTAACATTAGTTTTATATTTAGAACATACCATATTCAGGGTAACAGAGTATTAACACTCATTTGGAGAATTATTTCAGCATTCCCATGAGGTAAGTGGCAGTTGTTGACCTGTGGGTGGATTGTGGAGTTTCTTCTCCATTAGTCGATCAGGCTAATGTTCTAAATGGCCAGTCTTCTCTCCAACAGGGAGAATGTCCATAAATTTTGTAAAAATGTGACCTAAGCCCTTCAAAAGGCTTTGATAGATGTAGTTAAGGAACAATTCCAAACACTTAGAGGACCTTTTTTTTTTTAATTTTTTAAATTTATTTGACAGAGAGAGAGGGAACACAAGCAGGGGTAGCGGGAGAGGGAGAAGTAGGCTTCCAGCTGAGCAGGGAGCCCGATGTGGGACTCGATCCCAGGACCCTGAGCCAAAGGCAGACACTTAACAACTGAGCCACCCAGGCACCCTAGAGGACTGTTTTTAAAAGGAAGTATAGGGACCAGCTAGTAATATCTTCTGGTACTGCGACATTGATGGGTCTATAGGTCCAGAGACTATGACTAACTATTTGAACCTCACATCATGGGTTTCTTATATGCTTGGATTCCAGATTGCGGTGGTCATGGGCTCTTGTACGGCAGGTGGTGCTTATGTGCCTGCAATGGCTGATGAAAACATCATTGTACGCAAGCAGGGTACCATTTTCTTGGCAGGACCCCCATTGGTAAGAACATAGTCTTGATTGATTGATTGATTGATTGAAGTAAAATATACATAATATAAAATTTATCATTCTAACCATTTTTTTCAAAGATTTATTTATTTATTTTAGAGAGAGAGCACGAGCAGGGGGAGAGGCAGAGGGAGAGAATCCTCAAGCGGACTCCCAGCTGAGTGCAGAGCCTGATGCGGGGCTTGGTCTCACCACCCTGAGATCATGACCTGAGCCGAAACCAAGAGTCAGATGCGTGAGCCACCCAGGCGCCCCCATTCTAACCATTTTTAAGTGCGTAGTTCTGTGGCATTAAATATATTCACATTATTGTGCAACCATCACCACCAACCATCTCCAGGACTTTCTCATCTGCTCCAACTGAAAATCTGTACCCATTAAACATTAACTTCCTATTCTCCCTGACCTCCACTGCTCCTGGCTACCATGATTCTCCTTTTTCTATGAAGTTGACTACTGTAGGTACGTTGTATAAGTGGAATCATACAGTATCTATCCTTTTGTGATTGGCATATTTCACTTAGGATGATGTCCTCAAGATTCACCATGTTGTTGGCGTATGTCAGAACTTCTTTTAAAGGCTGAATAATATTCCATTGCATGTTCGTATCACATTTTGTTTATTAACTCATCCATCAATGGACATTTGAGTTGCTTCTAGTTTGGGGCTATTATGAATGATGCTGCTGTTAATATGAGTATATGAATATATCTGTTTGAGTCCCTGCTTTCATTTCTTTTGGGCATATGGTCGGACATAGAATTGCTGGATCATGTGATAATTGTGTGTTCAATTTTTTGAGAAACCACTTTATTTCTTTTTATTGCTGAATAATATTTCATTGTATGGATAGGCAGCGTTTTGTTTATCCATTTATCAGCTGATAGTCATTTGGGTTGTTTCCAGTGTTTGGATA